GGCCCCGGTCCCGCCCCGCCGAAATGGCGGCCCGTCTGTTCCGGAGGACGTTCGGGAGCCGCCGCCGCCTCCTCCTCCTCCTGCACTCCCCGCCGAGGCGCTCCAGCACCGGCTGGGCCGGCGGTGGCACAGGTACCCCCTGCCCGGAGCCTGGGAGCGGGGGGACAGGGCAGGAGCCGCCCTTCCAGGGGAGGGCAGCCCCGTCCCCCGGGTCCTCTAGCCGGTTGGCAAGGGCTGTCAGATTGCTGCGGGTATTGCTCGTGAATGGGCAGGCTGAACTATAGGGTTTTATAGCTAAACTGTAATTATAGCTAAACTGTAATACTTTTTTTTCCTCCGATTTCCCTCTGCATCGCAAGACATGAGTCCAGGAAAGCATTCATCCCTCAGGAGCTGATTTTTTTTTCAAGGATTTTATGCTGATGGGAGATAAGCATGGAGAGAGTTCCCCACCTCAGACTTCTCGATTAGGAAGGAATGAAACTGTTTTACTTACTGTTTTTCAGCCAATCTATTAATTCTATGCCAATCCCATACCACCACAAATGTTCTGCATGGTGTGTGTACACACACAGAGGTGTTTGCTGGAGGTTTGCACCATGATGGGTGACTCCTGCTCTCCTGTTGTGTGTCCCTCAACTATGGCCCCATTTCTCTTGGGCTGTAGGTGTTGCTTTCTTCCAGTACTCCTTCTCCGCATTGCTTTTCACTGAGGCCTGTGGAAGTTGCTAGTCTTAAATAGCTCATAAATGAGCATTAGTTCTGGTTTCTGAGTGTTTCCAAGAGGCAAACTGCCAAACCTTTCAGTGATACCCAGGGATGAGGAAGGAGCCCCAGCAGACCAGCAGTTTCTGCGCTGGGAGGGTGGATGGTTCCTCTGGTCGTAGGTGCCCGTTCCCTTTCAGAGCCTTCCCAAGTGGTGTGCTGGAGCTGCTCTCTGCACGTAGCACACAGAATGGAAAGCAGATGCCAGGTCCTGCACTCGCCCCTGCTTTTATGTCCCTGAACTGCCCTATGTGCTCTGTCTGTACCCACAGAAACTTTGGGAGAATTGAGATGATGACAGAAAACATCAACAGTCTAAATTAAAATGGTGTTTAAAATAATACAGATTATCTTTCTGTATCTAATTGAAGACACGAGCTCTCTGACGAAACAAGCTGAAGCAACTGTTACTACAGACTGGAAAAAAAAATTGACTCCAGAGCAATTCTATGTTACAAGAGAAAAAGGAACTGAACCGGTAAGCAAAAGCACTAATTCTGTCCAAGGTTAAGTCACCTCCTCTGTCTGCTGGGCACAGAAAAACCTGCTTTGGGGAGCTGTCACCACTCAGTTGCTTCACAGGTTTTCCTCTGCCTTCCTGTGGATGAAAGTTAGACTCAACATACCAGACTGGGTTGATTTTGTTCTGACCCAGGCTGGTTTGCAGATGAAAAAACATTCTGCATTCTTTTTTTTTTTTCTTTTTTTTTTTTTTTTTTTTTTTTTTTTTTTTTTTTTTTTTTCCAGGGGTACTTGCTGCCAGCTCAGCTGTCTGTATGGCAGTAATGGAGGCCTCTCCAGAGGGGAGAGTGAAGATCATATTTTTGTCCTGTAGTCTTCTTTTTTTGACCATATGTAGATTAGCCATGGAAATCTTGTGCATAGCACTCCATTCAGGAGCTGGGTTGTCCCTCATGTGCCACATCACCCACCCACCTTGTTCCCATGCTTTGCTTCCTAATGTGATGGAGGCCATGTAGCGTTGTGGGTGGAGAGTCAGTGTCCCTAGCCCAGAGTCAGGGCTTCTGCGCGCACGGAGCATGTACTGTGGGATTAAATCATGTGAACCGTGCCCAAATCCTTATCTGTAAAATAAGGATCCCGATTCCAGACCATGCAGGGAAGAGGAGAGTCCCTTTGTAGATCCACTTTGAAGTTGTGGCACTCCACAGCAGAGCCCTGGTCTTTGGGATCCTGCACATTTCACAAGTTCCTTGGAGGTCATGACTCTGGCCCTGGTACCTGGATGATTTATGCATCTGACTAGTCTCGAAATTTCTGGGGGCAGGGGGTAGTCTTCACTATTAATCCAAAGGCATCTTCCCCTTCATTTCTTTAGGCTGCTAATGTTTGTTCTTCAAAGCCCCCCTGTGAAGCCTTCTTTTTATGGTTTTTCTTCTGTTTTGAATCTGATTCCTGCATGCTTGTTCCAGATGGTGAGCTTTTAAAGACCCGCATTATTAACTTCTCTTTTTTTCTTCCTTTTTTAAAAGCCATTTAGTGGGATCTATCTGAACAACACAGAATCGGGAATATACTACTGTGTGTGCTGCAATGCTCCATTGTTCAGGTAACATCCTTTAGATTTCATAGCATCCTTATCATGTCCTAACAATGGCAGGAGGGGCAGTGTCTTTTCGTGAGAGGAATGGAAAGTGTAAGTCAGAAGAACAATCCTTTGGTGCCAGAGTGCTGTGTATAAGATTTTCAGAATACCTGTGGTGAATACCTTTTCTTGAGCATATGAGTGTCTCCAGTGGCCAGCAGACAGTAGTCGCTACCTCAGGGCCTGCCTTTTTCTCCTGCCACACACACTGTCCTTTTTGGTTGATAACAATTCTCTATTTAAGAGGACCCTAAGCCGCAAGCTGCCACAAAATACGTGTATTTATGCGTGAGTATCACTGTATGTTTGCTCTGTTCTTGTGCTTTTCCATAATCACATTTTGCCACTCATGCTACTGGGCTTGAGAGACCTTTGGTCTCCCTTAGTCTACCTGTTGTTATGTTCCTACTGCTGGGTCCCTCGTACTGGAGCTGAAACCTCCTCTTCACCCCCACCCCCTTCTTGTTTCCTAAATTAAATTCCACTATTTTTACTTTTTTGGTTTCATCTACTTTTTAAAACCTGACTGTGAACGACTGTGCTATTAACCTCTGTGCTCTTTACAATACTATGTATTTTGCAACTTCATTAAAGTCTAAGTAAAAAGGAAATAGAGTGCCTCGGAGTAGGATGTGCAAAGGGTGTTCTGTTCTCTGTAACTGAACCAGGAAAGACAGTTCCTCATATTTTTGACCTAGAAAATAGCCCTTTTTTATTCTCAACTGACAGTTCAGTGGAATACAGCTGATATGCCCATTTTTGTGAAGATTTTAAAGGATGCTTCACAGATCAGAACTTCAAATGGGAAGCTGAGGAACAAGGGGTCTGGATAGTAAGAAGAGGGGAATTATGTATTTAAAAATATACCTAAACTAAGCAATTAAATGGTAAAATTGGAGGCTGATAATTGTGAACAGTTAGTTTTTCTTCGGTCAAGTACGGAAAACTATTGTTGTGCTTAAATATATCCTCTTCTGTAGAAGTTTGCTAATAAATACTAATAAATACTTAAATAAATTTATTTAGTGCAGCATTGCAGAACATTCTGAAGACAAATACAAAACCTAAATATACCTCTGGAAAATTCAGATAAATGAGAGAAATTTTAAATTACTGAAGTGTGGAAGAGTTCCTTCAATTCCTTTAAATATTCCTTGAATTTAGGCATCCTTTATATTAAACAATAGATATTGACAAGCCAACATGAAGAGAGTTGCTTCTGCTGCTAAACTAATAACAAAACAACAATATAACCAAACAGTTATGCTGCTTTTTGCAGTATCCAGCTCTGAGAGAATACAGATACTTTATTTTAAAGCATAAAATAATGCTGAGCCTTACAGACTGATTCAGGGATATAAAAACCCCCCAAATTTACAGAAGCTTTTTAAGAAAACTGAAAATTATTGAATGTGCACAATGGTCTGAAAATACATTTTCCATGAATGCATTATGTTTTGGAGGACACTGACAATGCCAGGAAAAAATGGTATGTGATAGGAGATTCATTTTTTTTTTTTCCTAGTGCATTAAAAATGTTCTTTCTTTTTCAAATGCATTAGATCATTAACTACAGGTAAACATGAAGCATTTCCTCCTTTCTTTCAAAGTATACATGCATGTATACAATTATACTAGAGTTTATTACCTTCTGTTACCAAATAGTAATTTGAAAGAGTTGGAAATACATGGAACAAACCCCTAACCGTTATAGATAGCAAATTGTGGTGCTTTAATGAAATCTCAAACCTTCAGCGAACCATAAACCTACAGCTGAGATCCATACAGCAAAAAGCACTTTTTAGAATTATCTGGATTCCATCCAGGACGACTGAAATAGGGATCAAAGTAAATGACATGTGCTGGAGGAATGGTGTGTCGAAGGCTAATCTAATGCATATGTTTAGGGAAAGTCCATTTATCCATAAATTAAGTGGTGAAATACTTCAAAGGACAAATATGATCTTGAACAGCAATATTTTTGGGTACTAAAATGTTTCTATTAGGGATAATAAGTAATATTACTGTTAGTAAAACCACACAGAGGCCATTTCTGTTGAGAGCTAGTTTAACAGCTCAAAAGATTGATCCTTTAGCAGTGGAAAACATCTACAATAAACTTAAGTATTGTGAGTGGCATGTAAGGGATGGAGTCAGTCAGGGTCAGATGCAAAACCCACACAGCATTAACAACCTTCCTTGACTCTACAGGGTTTCAGAGAGGATCCTCGTATCTACTTATGAATAAGCAGAAGAATCCCTGTGACAAAAAATGAAGAGTTCTGAATGAAATCTTTTGAAAATAAAAAAGAAACAGCACAGGTATATGTCAGGGAAATTCAGAAGTCATGTATGGGCATTTGTGTTCCCCCAGGTTATTTTCTGGGACTCTGGCTGGTAGGCACAATGTTTGTGTGGTTTTGTAGCAGGGAAGGCAGGGAGCCCTCTTTGGCTGGAAAGAAATAGGCCTGGAGCCCTAAATACCTTCTCGTAGAAATGCAGAGTCTGCAAACTGCAATTGCTTCCGTGCAGCCTGCTTCTGTGCTGCGTCCTGTTTCTTCCCAGTGTTATGGAGGGGAGGAGGTAGGAGAGCATTCCTCACGGGTCTTTGCGGATTGGTGTAAAGAACTGAGCAACAGCCCGCACAAAACCTAGCCTTTGGTCATTCTGTGTTTGTAAATCCTCTTTTATTTCCACAGTTGCATTGCTCAAAGACAGCCCTGTACAGTTAATTATAAAACACATGCTGAAGCTGTTCTTTAGGTTGGATTTTTTAAGCTTTTTGCCCAGCTTGTTTGTCTTGTCTTTCTAAAAGGCCATACAAATAAGATTTTCAGGTTTTTCTCCACTGTATTAATATTCTACCAAAACATACATGATATATACTAGATATTTTGCTTTGAATTTTGTATTGATTAATGGACTGATCTCCTTGATCACAGAAAAGCTGCTGGTGGTGTTGGTGTCTCCATCCACCACTAGATGCCAGCAAGAGCATTGGGTTTGTGAGACTGGGCTAAAACATGGGAAATCGTGAGGAAATGATTGTGGTGGGTCTCCGTACCGCTTATCCTAGTAGTACCTGAGTCTGTCTTCGTTTCTCGCTCTAATTCACACTAGGTCACTTTTCACTACACGAAAGTACTTCTTGCTATCAAAGCTTGCACAACTTTAAATAGGAGGGATTATCTCATTTCTGTATGCTAAATCCCCAAAATATTTTCTGATCATGTTTTCCAATACACTCTAGGTTTTAATATGACACTAAACAGGGTTGGTAATCTTGGATCTTAACAGGAGGCACCCACAAGCTGAGAGTCTGTAGTACTGTTTCTGATGGCTGCGATTATCTCTTGGGAAAAATAGATCTTTGTGCTGTGAGGATTTGTCATTGATTGATTGATGGTTTGAGTAAGGCTCTGTTTGATTTTCCAAACCGGTTTAATGGCTGACTGCAAGCCGAATCCATCATCAGACATGAGCCTGATCCAGTGGGGCAACCCAGCCATTTTCCATACTTTGTTTCTTCTTGTAAACTCTCTTCTCTGAGGTTGTGCTGCGTTGGACCAAGCTTCAAACTGCAACTTTGCAGGTGTAATTCAGCTAAACAATGTGCTCAGTTGTTGGGAAAACCTTTTTTCAAGATTTATAAAATGCCAACCTGTCAGTGAAATAAAAATGGTGAGGCAAAAGCTCCTGTTGTGGGCTGATTGAGAATTCCCTTTGGAAAAGAGCTTCCAGCACAGTTTGATGCCAGTGAGAAAACTTTTACTGTGCCAAATATTATTAATAGTAGAACAAGACAGGGATGAGGAAAAAAGCCAATGTTCTTATTAAAACCAGACGCTTTTGTAACATCTCTGTTATTAATTAACAAGATCTGGTTTCCACTATAGCTCAGAAAAGAAGTACAACTCTGGGACTGGATGGCCGTCGTTTTCTGAGGCTTATGGTACTTGTGGCAGAGATGAAAGTAATACCAATATCATGAGACGACAAGATAACTCGTTGGAATCAACTACAACTGAAGTCGTCTGCAAACAGGTATGTTTATTTTGAAGGTGATACCCAAAGATCTTAACAACTAAGTTTTCTTTGTGCTCATGAATGAATCTACCTAAATACAGCAGTGAGAATTATGGTATCACTGGAACTATTCTGTCTCACTTCTTGATATGAAACACATAAGTAGGGTTTGAAATATCAAATATAGGTAGTTGGTTTGGGGTGAAGAAAATAATGTGACTGAGGAGAGTAGTTGTGTAAGTATAGCCAAGGGCTGGAGTTTAGACAGAAAATTTATTCAGAGGACATCAGGTGTACTGCAGGATGTGACAAGACAGTAGAAGAGACTCTGAGATTTAGTCCACGCATTTGGTCCATCACAGGGGCAGTCCTTCCTAATTCAGTCCTGCTAAATGTTTGTGAATCTGTTCTTTAAATATCCAGCAATGGAGAGTCCACAGCCTTACTAAGTAATGAGTTCCTACTGTTGGTTAGACACTGGGGAAAACACTGATCTTTCTTTGCAGCAGTTGCTGTTTGCCCAGCAAGGTGTTAGTGGTGCCCTGCATCTTCACAGCTGTCTTCTATGAGTTCTCTTATTTCACAGAAGCCACCCTTCTATTTTGTGTAGCTATTCTGACTCCCTCAATCATCTCTTTTCTAGACCAGAAAGGTCCAGTTCCTTCAACTGTTCCTTTTTATGCAGTGTTTATTAGAGCACTGATCATCTTGTTGCTCTATTTTGCACTCCTTCCAATTGATCCTTTTCCTTCTTGAAGGACAGTGCAAAGCTGGACCTAGCACTGCAGCTGGGCCTAGCCTGCATCAGAGATTAGAGGCTGTTTAGGTACATTATAGATAGTGTTCCTGTCCTTACACCTTTGCCTTTCCACAGCCCATGACCCATATTTTTGGGGGGGACCTGCTATAATGCCCAGGTCCTTTTCTAAAGAACTACCACCCCTAACCATTTCTTCCCAACCCTAAATCCGTGCTGTTTATTACTTTTGGTAAGGTATAAAAGTATGCAGTCGAGTTTAATGAATTGCATCTTGGGGGTGTGGGTGTGGGGGGTGGGGGTGTGTGTGTGTGTGTCTGTCTGTCTGTCTGTCTCTGCTAATACTGCCCTCCAGTGTGCTTGCAGGATTAGGTATTATCTGCAAATGTGACAAGCATTTGCTGTTAGAGTTCAAAACCCTCCAATTTTATAATGACCCACTGATAACTATTCTGAGTATAATTTTTTCCCATCAGTAATTTTGCAGGGGAAATCCTCAGCTGACCTATGGTGAGAAGGACCTACAGGGACTGTCTCATTTAACTGAAATTTTCATTATATATTGAGATGTCTCAATCCTCCCATTTATTTCCTATTCTTTCTGGCATTAGTACCTTTTGACTTCCTCTTCTGCAATCTCCCTGTTTGGGGGCAGATACTCGCGCACTGGCCAGAGGTGATTACTTCAGGATGTATTTCTTGTCCCTTCCCAAGGCTCCCCGACCCACACAACAGTGAATTTATCATACAGGTTTCTTAATTCAGGATAGCACAGTAGGTACCAGCATAATGTTGGTCCATAATTGCAATGGTAATAATGGTACATAATTTCTGTTGCAGTGTGATGCCCATCTAGGCCATGTGTTTGATGATGGTCCCACAGCTTCTGGGCAGAGGTTCTGTATCAACAGTGTTTCACTAAACTTCAAACCCAGCTCTGGTCAGTGAGAAGTGGATCTCTGTGGCTTACAGAACATCCTTTCACTGCTTGTATAATAGGCTTGTGAAAAACTCTCACGCTTTTAATATAGAACTCAAATTTTAGAACTTATGCCATTGTAGCTTTGCTTTCCAGCTGTTATCAGTGTTGATAAAATACATATTTTTGTGGTAACTCTTTGGCAGTCTGCCTTTTCATGGTTAGTGTGATGTAAGTGTTGATCTGTTTGTTGTATTTTTTTAATTAAATAAAATCTATGCAATAGTTCACATGCATAACTATCATCATTAACTGTACTGAGGCTGCTGAAATGAAGTGCTCTCCTGAACCTGACTTTGCCTTCACCCAGGAATACAGGTGTACATGGCTGATCATGCCAGAGCTTTTACTTCTGTAAAATCATCATATCCTTCTAAAGGGAGTGAAAATAACATCAATCTCCAAATAAGGTTTGAGGGTTTTTTTTCCCCCTGATGTGAGAGAGACCTTTAGCCAAGCCAAGTGACTTTTTCATGAACCCATAAAAGCAAAGTCCTGAAGGAGGGCCTAATTAAAATGATTCCAGTCAACAGAACCAGTGGAGACACAGAGTCTTTCTTCTTTTAAATCAGTTATTTTAATTCTGTGTCCAATAGCAGAGCTGAAGTAGGGTTTGCTCCAGGAACTTCTTCTTATAGAAATAATATGATAATAATGTAACGATCTGTGTAACATCTCTAGACTTCTGTTATCAGTTGTGTATTTAAGAATCTGAAAATAAAGATGAATGTGAAATTTACTGCATTTGGCAGGAAAAAGCACCAAAAACCATGTTCAGTAAGGTGATGCTTTTGTTTAAAACATGCCTTGTTTTTTTCTTCTTTGTACAAGTTTGTAAATACTTCTGTATTCTCCCAAGTATTGTCACCACAGTTTGCTGTAACAGGAAAATAAACTGTATGTTTGTTAAGCTGAGCTTTCCTGCTTTCAGTTTTTTCCAGAGAAAATAATCTCTGAGTCAGAACATCAGCTTCACTAAACTGGCTGGGTTTAAATGCTTCCCTGCTGAGAGTTACTAGGCAACATCTCATTTGGCTTTACCTATAACAGGCTGTTTCCATTCTCCCCACTTCGGTTGCCTCAGTAATAAAAAGGGTGTGTTCATTTACTAGTGTAGTCTTAAAACTATTTAATGTTTTCAGAAAATGGACGTCTTTTACACTGAATTTACTCTTGCTCCTTCTGTCTTGGAGCTCTGCAGTTTTTCATTCTCCTGTACTTTCTCCAGAAGAACTCTACAACATTGTAATTTTTAAAAGCATCATACAAAGACAACGATCACTACAGCCAACCTAAACCAGAATGGCTCAAAGGCTACCAGAGGTGTGAAGCGGCACGAATGAAGCAGACGCTGCTGCTGGTTTTATGTAGTGTCATAGGTGGTGATGGTCACATTGTCATCAGACGTGTCTGTTAACAGCAACAGCACACTGCTTGCCGTGTCTGTGCTGCAACATACTCTGCCGTGCAGAGATGTCCTTGCATCACCTATTGCTATTGCCTGCCTCCTCTGACCAAAATGTACGTGCCCAGCCTGCTCAGGTCTCAGCTCCCAAGAGTCTTCACAGATTGTTCAGAAATCACCATCCTTGCATGTTCTGAATTCATGTACCCCACTATGCTGATATACTTTCATTCACTGATGTTGGTTTTATTTCCTTAAAATCTATTGCACAGCTACTGGAAAGGGGGTTTGGCCCTTACACATTCTTTAGTCAGGCAGCCCTCTCCCCTCTCCTCACCCTTCCCATCAGGAGAGGGTTGTCTCAGAAAGGAGCATGACTAGAAGGTGTCCCCAGCCGGGCTTCTGTGTTCAGTCAGGTGCTGGTGCAGAAGCAGTGACTTTTGGCTGGGATACCAAATTGAAATGCTCCTCATTTCTGCAAATGGCAGAACGTAGGAAGAGAACTGGCAAAATTCCTGTTTCTTGCCTGTCCCCACAGATACCAGGTCTCACTGACACCTTCTGATGATACTGAATGCCACACAAACAGAACAGACCATGGAGCCAACAAAACAAGTATCCACGCACAGACATGTGCAAACCACACTTGGATGTACATGGTTGGTGGAGACCAACTCTTAGTGAACTGTCAAGTTAGTAACTGACAGTTACTAATAATATTACAGTCTTACTGACAGAGGAAGCTTGCCTGAGCAGAGAGCGCATTTATTTTACACCTATAAACATGTTATGCAACTGGATGTTTGGGCTAAGCACCAGCTGGTGCCTCCTCATTCATACAGCACGGTGACCTGAGGAAAGAGTCCTGTAAGGCCCTAGTTTAGCTTATGCAGTGTTAACTACAGATACGTAATTATATGGAGAGTCATATCTTCAGGGACAGCACCTAACCTGTCCTACACTGATATGTCAGCAAGCAAACAGCGTAAAGCACAACTCTACTGCCCCAGAGAAACCAGATACTGAGCTAAGCAACATTGTTCTGCTTATTCAAATGAAAATGGGGAAAAGAGGAATGTTTGGCTTTCACCACGTGTAAAATCAGAGTAATGGCACAGCACCTTTCAGTGTGGCTGTGCATCCCTCAGTTTGGAGTAGCTACACTGAGAGGTAATTGAATCTCCTGCCCCTTACACTTCACTGTAAATCTGAAAGTGTTTAGATGTCTGTATGTACATGTGTATATATCAGTAGAGGAACAGGGAGAATAATTTTGCTTTGCAAGATAGCCAGTTAGCAATTTGGAATAAAACCCAAAATCAACATAAGCCCTCTCATCAATCCCAGCTCTCCCCATTGTGGGCAGTTTGTACCTTTTCTGTTAAAACACAACCATACAAATGAGTGATGCAGGATTGAGCAGGGGAAAAGGGAGGGGGATAGGTAAGGGAGGAATGAGTGGAGGAAATGGGTATGAACTTCTTGAATTAGGTCTTCTGATGCTTTTTTTTTTTTTTGCAATATCTGACTCTCTTACATTCTCTGCTGTATCAGATAGCAGCTGGAACTTGTTGCACAGCAATCTCAAGTAGTGTGGTGGGGATAAGACAGAAGTTTCTTAACATCCATCTTTTTATTACATTATCACTTGTGAAAAATGACATGGATCAAATGGGTTACTCCTCAGTAGTCCTTTATAAAATGACATATTTGACAGACTTGTTTTCTATTGTTTGTCTTAGAGTGCAAGGTGGGGGAGAAGAGCCATGTTCATTTGTGTACGAGTTAATTATCTCTTGAGCTAAGCGCTACTATTCTTAGGTTAACAATTTTGAGGATGTGCCAAGATCTGCAAGCTGTTTGCGTCTTTGGTTTTTACCATTCCCTCTGCTGGCTTTTTATTCTCAATATACCAGCTTGAAGTTCTGTTTTTCACTTTTAAGGTCTATCACGGCTTCATCCCACCTTGTGTTTTGTCTCAGACATGCTGATGGTACTGGTCTGTGCTCTGCCAGTAATGTCTGCCTTTGTAAATTTAAAGCCAAGTTTTCTTGAAATATGTTTGTGCTTTACCTTGGGCTGCCAAAACCAAAAAGGAGATCCATTGAAGACTCTGCAAGGCCACTTAGTTACCCTGCCTCTTCCTGAACTCCTTCCCAAAATTTGCATCTCTCAGTATGCACATAGAGCACATCTAAGTGACTGGTGTACTCTGACTGACAGTTACACCAGTCATAATGATGTCACTGTTACCTTGTGCTTCACGCATCTTCCAGGGCAATCCATGTGACATATTTCATCATGTATTTGAGCTTATCTCCCATGATGATGAGATCACACAAACTAATTTTATGTCTATAAACTGAGCTGTGGACATTTATGGTCTCATTCCCATGTGATGTAAACTGATGGACATTCAGGACCTCTAACCGCAAGCTCTTTGGTTGCAGGGAACTTCATTATCTTCTATGTCTGTAGTACCAACCACACTATGACAGATCCCAGCAAAAGGCCCAAAGTGTTATAAAATCATGAATAATAAAGGCCAATAATAATGGTGGAAGACACTATTAAAGAGTATCATAGGCTACAAGAATTTCCTTGTGAATCTGCACTGACTTTGTTCCACCATAGTGAATAAAAAGCAGTTGCTTCTCTGAGCTGAATATACTCTGCCAGGCAACTGCAGATTTATGTTCCATAGTTCACATCTGAGAAGTTTTTCAACATTGTTATTTCATTAAACAGTTTCAATGACGATATTTTTTATTCCATTATGTTTTTAAATATCCTTTTTATAAATCCTAATTGAGGTTTCTACATAATTGTTAAGAAATTTTAACATCTTAAACTATTTAAAGACTTTCTTTGTCTTTGCAGCATCTCTATGAGGCAAGTGATTATTCTCAGTTTTACTGAGGGAAGACTTGATGAGAAGAATTTCATTGACTTGCTCAAGACTACAAATTAGATTTGCAGCCAAGCCAGAATTAGACTCTGCAGGGCTCCTAACAGCGTCCAGATCTTCAGACCCTACTTCTTCTAAAACTTGTTTTGGTACTTGATTGTTTAGGGGAATGAATTATCAAGAGAGGAGGTAAAATTAGCATACATTTTCCCACCTATGGTATTAAAAGGAAAGCTAAACCAACGAGGGCAACTTTGGCATGTAAAGAGCAATACTTGACCTCTTTCTCAGAGCAAAGGTGGTTTGAGCTTGGTTAGGAATTAGGCCACTGTATTCTCTGGCTGTGTTACATATTGCCACGCAGTCTAAAAAGAATCAATGTTCTTTATGTTCCAAGACAGCTTTAGGTAGAAATGATGCAAGAGAGCTTGCTAACAGTAACTTCTTTGCCTGGGAGGCAGCATGGCTATTTTGTGAGCACAGAGAGAAGACAGGAAAGAAAGAGCACGTTACTCTTATATTACTAGCAGCTTCATGCTCCTTTCACCAGAAATCGTAATGCCCGTTATTTTAGCCATATATCCACAGAACTGTAGTGATGCTCTTCTTTGTTGTACCATGCTGCAAAGCATTTCAATTCTCTTTTAGACTGTTGAAAAACCAGTCTTATTCTGGTCAGAACAAGAAAAGAAGAGAGACTTTTCTCAGAGCAAAAGTAGGATTTTGCCACCCTAGAACATCTCCAGTATGAGTCTGCTGAAGAGGTAGTCTGCATGAGAAGGAACTGAAAAGGTCTGAGTTTGGGTTTTGCTTTTTTTTTCTGATTTTGAACAGAAAGGTGAAGACTTAGCTAGTACTCCTAAGCATGTCTGTATTTTCTGGTCTTCAACCATGGCCCTAGTGTGTAGAAGAAATGAGTCCTGTCACCACACAACTGAATTGCCTCCTCTTCCATTCACTTAATGACTTTTTGCCCTGGGCAGCGAAGTGTTTTAACGATACTCCTGTGCCTGTCCCACCTCCTGCTACATTGATGAGCTGCAGTAACACTACCCTCACAGCATGTCGTGTAATGCTCAGCACCCGTCAACCTCATGGATTTCACAGCTCTTTACACATAAATGATGCCTAGCCCCAGCCCTTTGAGGTAGTGGTGAGCCACATGTCACAGAATAGGAAGCTGAAGGACAGCTGTGGGAAGTGACTCGCCCACAGTCCCCCGGTGCAGGGCAGGGAAATCTGATTACAGAAAGGGTTCTCAAAAGCTCTCCAAGTGTGAGCTGCTGCCAAAATTCACAAAGGCAAAGTAGTTTAAAAGCAAAGCTCTTTATTGAAGAAGTGCCCAGACTTTTTCCAAGACTAAAAGAATTTGTCTCAAGGCAGGTGTGTCCATGGGGACTGGTTTCAGTGGCACTGAGGAATGTGTGTGGAAGGGATTGGCAGCTTGCCACAGTGCAGAAGAAAGAGAAATTCATGCCCATTATTGCACTCCCTTTTACTGTCTTCTCTTTTGTTGGTTTGGTTTGGTTTTTTTTCTTTGCTGTGTGGTATCCTTCCTCTCTTCTCCTCAGAAATCCCTTTGCAATATCCCCTGG